GTGTTAAGTTTGTGTTTTTTTCTATCGTGACAATTTGTAGGAATCGTGTTTTCGCAGTCAGTCGGTGTACATATCCTCAATTTATATTTTTCCAAAAAGATTGATGGAGCACTTTCACTATTATGCGGAAAAACTCGTAAGAAAGCGTCTCTGAGTCCCTACTTTCGAAGCACAAAATCCGCAGCCACGGCCGTTTTCCCACTATGGATGATCTTCAGAACTACTCTCGTCCATCAGGGAAAAAACGTGCCCGTTCGAAACTGTCAAATCGCGTTGTCATACGTTCTTAGTTCTACCTCCGTCATTCAAGTGTGGAAGGTCATCAATTGCGGGCCGTATCTACGGATTTTCGAGTATACGGAAAGCCATACACGCTTCCGGGACCAATTGAAGTATTCAGGAAGCAAAGAACAATGGCGAACTCTCAGACAACTCATTTTGCGTCATCGTTTGGCATAAACCGGACTTTTACATGAAATCAAATGCAGCGTAAATTGCGCAACTCATATAACTCGAGTCACAAAATTACATTCGTCTGGCCTCACCCTTAGTAAACTAAAGCGTCGAGGGATATGGTCTCGGGACGAATCCGATGTTGACATGTTTCCTTCTTGAGCTAAAAGCTCTTACGACATTACACTGACCTAAAGATGGCATCTAGATGTTACATATACAACCATGAACTTTCTATATCTAGCTTACCAGTCTATAGTAGTGTCACTACATCCCTCAGATTTAACCATTTGTAACAAGACCTGACTCATCGTCACAAATAACTACCACGGATTTTTATTTTTCATGATTGGATCTGGTGATGTTTTACTACGAAGATTTTCATGTAAATTGAGTTAAGAGCGAAGAAGAAGAAGATCGAAGGAAATTTTCTTTGTTTGACTTTGTAGCAACACTTACTCCTTTCCAGACCACTCTGACGTAGAGGGAAATGAGGCAGCAGGTGATCTAGCAAAGGCTGGTGCTAGGGCACACACGTCTCACGAGAAGTTTGGTTACATAGCAAGGATCTTGAGCATTCAAAAGCCCCGATAGCTGCCTACAGTACCAAACACTGTAGAGAAGCTCGTCTGTGGACAGGAATGGCATCAGTATGCTCACTAGAGACTTAACAGGATACCGTGACTTGAACAAGCACGTCAAATGTTGGGCAGAGAGAAAATAGAGTGTACATTCTGCCACGAGGCGGATGCAACTCCTGTTCATCTTCTCACCCAATATTACCGATGGGCGTATAAAGCTCCATACTGGGAAGGCACATGACACAACCAGAAATAATAAAATCTGTCGGAGCCAGGAAAGTCCTTCAGTTCTTCAATGCTGTCGGCATTGGCTCCGATCGATTATGAAAACTTGCAAAACCAATATGTCGTGAAAAGAAGAAAATGAAGAGAGAGGGAATGAGAGTATGTAATAGTCAGTGCGGTGCGGTGCACGCTCGGATTCGGACGTGTCCACTGCACAATAAGAATTATAATAATTCGCGACCCGCGCGGCAATAGCCGCTGCACGTAATTAACTATGGGTTCTCAGCAACTCATAACCAACGAACTGTTGGCGTTTATACAACACGCCATAGATACCATGGACGAAGTCAGCATCGTGCAGATCTGCAAGTCAAATTTCAAAGAAGAAGAGATTTGCAGTGGCAAGACGCTGCTTTTCCGGACGTTTGGCAAAGCCGAGCAGATGCCGTCACGTCGGAGAGATGGAGGAGCGAAGAGTCTCCAGGACGTCATTACGTTATTCAAGGAGACCGACCCAGACGACGTGCCTGCATTCGTGGCGAAGGACCTGCATAAACTGCCCCCTGTCACGTTCGACCACGTCAACGTCACCAGGCTGCTGAAGGACATCACGTCCCTAAAAGCAAGCCTTGCTGAAGTTCAGTGTAAATTGGAGGCCTCAGACAACACCATCAGTGAGTTGCGTGCCCAAGTTGTATTACTTAGTAGTGCGGCTTCGGTAAGTAGGTCACCTGAGGCCTGCAACGTGAACACTTGTCGCGGGGCGCAAAATGCTTCTTTCAGCAGTTTTGAGTCGGCTCACATGCATGTGTCACCGACCTCTGGCGCTGTTGCCGCGCGCGTTTCCCCGCACTCCACCCCGCCGGAGACGACCCCTCCACGTGATTACGCAGCTGTTGCCGCTGCCCGACCTAGTACTCCACAACCACAACCCAGGCAACCAATGAAGGGAAAACCGAAGAAGAAATTCGTATCTGGAGCTGCGTCGTCAGTACCACCGAGACGAGTTGATCAGTGCGACGAGGACGGCTTTCGGAAGGTGGAAAAGAAAAAGAAGAACACTAGCCGAAACCTCAGTGGCACCGCCCTGACTGGCCCGAATCATTTATTGCGTCCAGCGGTACCGACGACGTTGTTATATTCATTACTCCACCAAGTCTGCGGATATTGTGGAGTACATGCGAGTGAAGGCCAACGCAAACCTGAGGGTCGAGCGGGTGGAGTCGCGCCACAATGTGAATTTTAATTCATTTGTGGTGCGAGTACCAACTCAACACCTGTCGACCTTCATGAGAGAAGACTTTTGGCCGAAGGGTGTCATGTACCGGCGTTTCCGAGGACGGCTACCGGACACCCACGTTGCGTCACACGTCGAAGTACATACGTGTAAATAAATAGTGTTATATGTATATTATCATGTTATATTGTATTTATGATTAGTCCGTAAGGTATTTATTTAATATTTCTGTTATATTATTGTTATATTATATGTATATTAGTCTGTAAGGTATCTATGGGTCCTAGTTGCCTGAAATAAATAAATAAATAAAATAAAATAAATAAATTGTCGCATTTTGTACATGCCAGTGACTCTTAATACCCCACTGCCATCTATAAATGGAGCCAAGCTTTTTAAGTGATTTATTATTGGCTCTTATTTTTGACACATTGAATCTCCTTATCGAAATATTGACCCTTTTTCTCTTACAGTAACATTAGAAACAGCAAGCACCTGGTTCAGTTTCAATCAAAAAGTTTATCATCCTCCATTCCACTGTTCCGTGTGTTATGCCATCATCTATCTTTTTTGAGAGTTCATTCTTGGGCCCACGATAGAATTCTGCTAGGGCTGGAAGGGTCAATCCACTAGCTAGTGAGGAAGGATTATCACTGCGCATTTGTTTATGGAACGAATCCATATAAACCTTAGCCCTTTTTCCTGCAAATACCTGCTTGTTCGTTATTTGAAACGATGATTCATGAGTGATAGCTTTGAATAATCCAGTTTTGGGGCAACTTCACTACGTTTGCTGATTTATTCCTGGACCTAAAGGTTCCTGCAATATCAGATCTTAGTCTCCAAGGGCTCCTTACAGAAGTTTTTGATTGTAAGATTCCAAGATCTTCATTCTGCGTACCGAATATCGCATGCTACAAAACTTGCCCTATTGTTACATCGTCCATTGCCGTTTCCATTTTCCACTCAGCAGTCATACATGCTTTATAAGTTAACCCCATGCCACGCCCTGGAAGTCACAATTTTGTAACTTAACTCTCCTATCTTCAGTTTCTGCGATTCCTTTGTTGTCTTCTAATGCGTACAGGATCATGTTGGCGGGGAAAAATGCGCGCTGAAAGCCAGCTTTTTTTGCTCAAATGTTCATTTCTAAATAAAAGCAATATGTTATTTGATTTTTATGAAAACGTGAAAAGCGAATAAGTAATGAAAAGAAATAATGAAGAGAGAGGGAACTAGTTAATGTACATAGAATGATTGGTTCGTAAACGAACATTCTCCCGGGGAAGAAGTACAAGGAATTAAAAACTTAAACGCTACACATACAAATTAAGTGAAACTAAGTTAATGTAAGAGTACAAATTTAAACCCAAACATATTTGGCACAAGTTGAATTTTGATGCAAGCTCGACCCTTTCTTTGAGCGATTTGGCTGCACAAACTGGATATTGAAATAATTTGTGATGATGGCGACTATCGTGCAGACAATGTACTAAAAGAGCTGTTCAACCTGAGCCATAAGAAGCACCAAGATTTAGTCATGGGTTTCGCATTATGCCGAGGCAAAGAATTTAATTTCATGCCCAGCTATTCGCCTACATTCGGAGGACTCTGGGAAGCAGCAGTGGAAAGCGCCAAATACCACTTTAAAAGAGTCATTGGTAGCAGCTTATCCATATATGAAGAGTTCAATACAATCATGGTCGTGGTAGAGGGAATCCTCAATTCTAGACCAATAATCCTAATGCGTAAAGACAATTCGTACTTTACTTTCCTGACACCAGCACATTTTTAGGTTGGTAGATCTTTAATTTCAATTCCGGAGCCAGACATTTCGTCTATTACTCAAAAGAAATATGGCAACATTCCTATGTCCAAATATAGCAACATTCCTGTGTCCAAATATAGCAACATTCCTGTGTCCAAATATAGCAACATTTCTGGAAAGTTTGGTACAAACAATATCTTACTCAGTTAAACAACCGTCCAAAATGGCATGTAAGCCAGCCCAATATATTAGAAGGAAGGTTGGTACTTCTTAAACATATTAATTGTGATCCTTTGCAATGGCCGGTTACCAAAGTGTACTATGGCCCTGATCAAAAAGTCAGAGTTGTTGATGTTAAACTACCATACGGAAATGTCTCATGTTGAGCTATAAACAAAATCCGTGTACTGCCTGTAAATAACGATTAGCATGTACTTTGTAGGTTAGTTTAAATTTGTACTCTTACATTAATTTAGTTTCACTTAATTTGTATGTGTAGCTTTTAAGTTTTTAATTCCTTGTACTTCTCCCCCGGGAGAATGTTCGTTCAAGAAACAAATATTTTGTGTACATTAACTCGTTCCCTCTCTCTTCATTCTCTTCTTTTCACGACATATTCGCTTTGCACGTTTTCATAAAAATTGTATATATATTATATATTTTCTGCATGCTAAACATATTGATTTTATTTAGAAATGAACAAAGCCACCCTAGCAATAATAATAATGTTACTTACTCCTGAACTGTAGCGTCGAGCCAGAGAATGCATGCTCCCGCGCAAACGTCCGCCCGGCTGCAGCACGTCGCTCCAACTTACGCGCCATGTCATCATTGCTATCTCCGCTTCCAACTTGTAATGCCTGGCATAGAAATATTTCATTGGAGACACGAAACTATTGTCCTCAAATACTAAGTTTAACAATATACTATACTATATACTGGTAGGCTTCTAATAATTAATTGTATAGCTTTATGATTAGTATAATAATTAAGGTTTATTTTTTATTATTTTTTTTACCAATTGTATGTTAGCTTCCCTTACATTTGTTTTTGTTTTTTTACTTATATTTAGATTAAGTTATGCTGAAATAAATTTATTTTTATCTTTATCTTTATCTGTATCTTATATAAAATTCGAAACTAAGTCAAATAAGACTGAATCACAAAATGATGTGAATTTTTTTGAAAAGACGTATTTTAACGAGCGTTGCAGCCCTTTAATAATAATAAAACACACTCATAGCCCCGCACTAGGGAAACCCTGTATCGCGGGCGTCATAGACGCACACATAGGTAGACAACGCCAATTAGACCCAAACTCACGAGAGAAATAAATGTAGGCCATACAAATATTTCTCCCGGCCCGGGAATCGAACCCGGAACCTCTGCGTGTCAGGTCAGTATGATAACATTTCGGCCACGGAGGCAGTGAGGCCATTTGAGTGACCTTAGAGACTACCATTGAGATTTATCGATCATTCAGATCATGGACTTTAAATTGTAACGAATTCAGATTTTTACCGCATTAACATACTCTTGTATAATTGTTATCAATTTATGACGATCCTTGATGGAGAATGATATTTGATATATAATTTAATGACAACAATATTATATAATGAATTGTTAATTTTCTAATTATTGTGTGCTTTTCTTATAATTTTCCTTTTTGTCTGACGATCTCAATATAATTTCTTATACTTTGACATGTAGTGCAATTTATACTGTAATGTTATATTTGAGAAATAAATGAATCTGAATCTGAATCATTATAATAATTTTACAAGGATAACGGCAATGACTGATTAGTTTGGACTGAAGTACACTTGGTTTGGACCAAGTATGCCTTCATGATCATTATTTTACGACTGCGCAAAGTAAATAAGGTAACGGCTTCCATAAAATCTACCGTTCTAATAAATAACGACAAGGTAAACGTCAGGCTCGCAGAAATATTTTTATTAAAATTCTTGAGATGCGAAGCGATGCTGCCGCGCTTAAAAGAAACCCGATGAAATAAGTAACGGTTTTTATTGCAAGATAGACAATGTTATTTTATAGTGTTATCATAGAATAGGTGCCATACTTACTCATTTTTTGAACGATATATCTACTACCTACAAATTGATGTTTAAAATTCACAGCAACTTAACGCTTAACATTTTAACAAAATTTGCGGTAGGTTATTTGACTTTTTTTTTTTCACTTTCTTCTTCCTTACTTAATCTATACTAGCCGTGTGATTCTTATTTAGTCCTTTTGAAAAAAAAAATAGTTCAGTTAAAAAAACACACTTCTATCAAGGTATCTACGATAATGTTGTCCTCTGTAATCATTAGGTGTATCAAAACCCTTTGAACTGACGTGGAAAATAAGTTACCTAATGTGTAAAACGACATCAAGAACACTTATAAATAAAACTAAAAATATCTATTACGAGTATTTTAACGTTAAACGCCCTATACATTAATATGAATTTCGTATAGAGGCTTTAGTTGACCTACTCTTAGGTTACAATAAGTTTACAGATAACAAAACTGCCTTAAACAAAATAATAAAACTATCTTTTAATTCGGCAAAAACCAAGTGGTGTCTATTCTTAAGTAAGTACTAATTTTTGTATTCAAAGCGGTTGTTCGAAATTAAAATCTCTCTACGAATGTTATATTGGAGTGTTTAACGTTAACATTTTGGATATTACTAGTTTTATTTTTAAAACGTTATTGATGTCGTTTCACTTATTAAGCAAGTATGTACTTTCCATAACAGTGCCTATACAATGAGATTACACTGACAGTTATAGCTAGAGACAGCGTAAAATATTTGTGTACAAAACATAGTTTCTTCTCGTGACCGGTAGGAGTGCTGTATAACTACAATACAAACCTGTAAATGAATACTGATAGAACTGCCAAAATCACCACCACCGAGCTCAGAACAATACTTAGAATTGCGTAAACCGGCAAAGCTGAAACAAAACACAGTTTTATTTGTATTGAAATAACATTTTAGAATAATTATTATTCAAAGTGTGGATTCATGGGACTCCATATCAAAAGTAAATAGACGCTCCTTTATGGAACGCAAAACCCCGCATTTACTATAAATCACTGTGACGTTCCGAAGTGACAGGTCGTAGGGAAATTTTCACCGTGACCATAACAGTGACTGTGGAACTCACCGAGACATTAAATATCACAGGAGTCCAACCATCGCTGATAATACTTTCTTCCCAATTGATATAACTATAGTTCAGAATAGGGTGGTGTGCATTAATATTAGACATAAGACATAACTGGCGGATGATTTTACCATCTTAGTTGTCCGTGACCATCGGACTTATAAAGAGCCCAACGTTGGGTTGATTGAAAAAACAAATATATATGTGTAGCAGTCGCCAAAATCTCAGAACTCGATCTTTGATAAATTGTTCATTCTCACTATAAAACGATATGTATGTAACTGACAACTGACGTACAGCTTTTATACGTTCACTTGTTTTGAATAAAACATAAAATACCGAAAAATGAAATTTAATTCCGCCTTCCCCTTTCCGTTATCGGGGGATCCAGATGTAAGCTGGGGTTCCACCCCAGTGTTATGGATATTCCAAAGATTCGCACGAAGCGTTACGCTTCCGCATTTATTTGGCGAACGGCTATGGAATGGAATTCCCTGCCTGCAGACTTGTTCCCTGAACAGTATAACTTGGTCTTTTCAAGGCGAGAGTGAATAAGCATTATTTAGGTGTGCATGCTCCATTATCATCTTCATCGTGTCTTTCCATCAGAGGTGGAAGTCAAATGTGCACTTATGTTTTAATAAAAACAAAATACAGCCCATAGCGGCTTCTTAAGCCACCAACAACTTTATATTATACTAAACACCTGTCCTTTCCTGTCAGTGATAAAAGGCTTAGACACTGTCCCATTTTCACGCGCTCAAAACGAATGTATACGTAAGCCCAATGATCCTATACACAATAAAGGCAGACATGTTACTAGCGTCCGCATAGTAAATTTTCGAAAACCTCTCAATAAACCGATTATGCGATAAATCTGCGTCGAGTAAAAGAGACGCATTTGACATTTGTAAAATTAGCGTCTGTAAAACTGTTGTAAAACTCTCGTGTTTATTTAGAAAATGCACTAGTTACTATGTTAAAGTAAATAAAACGCAAGGAATCATATATCAGGCGTAAGTTTTAATTTTTCTGTTTATTTTAATAAATAACATTAGCTAATATTCATTGACTTACAATTATACGGACGTCGGGTCCGCGCTAAAAAGTGTCCGAACTTATAGGGCGTTAAAGTCGTATACAGAGCGTCATTCACGCTCTAGTCTTCGTTTGTTCGACTGACAGCGAAGCAAGCAAAAGTGGACAGTACTGCGATGACATTACAATTTAAATTCAACGTTTTAGCTTCTTCATATTCCTTTACATGTCACTACGTTTAAATAGGTTGACTTGGGACATTTTTTTCGTGGTTTTTGTATTAGACCCGTCGTCCATTTATTTGTAAGTCAATGCTAATATTATAATAAGTAGATAGATAATTAATTATTTGGCAAATTATCCCTGTAGCGTGTACGATAAGGACGCATGAGCTCCAGTCAAAGATTATAAGTGCAGACACGTGCATTGTAGGCAACAAAATCATAAATTTGGTAGATGACTGACTGTTTGTTGTCGGGAAACTTATTTATACAGATTTGTAACGTTCGTCTTTATGCCATATTACATTATACAATTATTTATTGTCTGTATAAATGAAAAAACACAGAATTGAAAAATAATTATTTTTTATATGATTTGATCAAAAGACCAAATAATGTTAATGTTTGATAACGAAAGAACAATTTATTAAATTTGGGGAAGGTCTATATCCAGCAATGGACATCTTTTGGGCTGAAATGATGAAAATGAAATTGACATTATTACTTTAGAAATGCCATTGTTCCAAGATAGATGATTCTATTTGACTTATAAACATTTTTCACGTTCGTTTAATAACAAAATAAATTTGTTTTCATTTTCCATTGTGTTTTACTTCTCATAATTGTCTAAGCCCCGTCAATGCAAATGACGCGCGATTTTTTTTTAAATGTTATATAGGTTGCGCGACAGACTTCAAGTGTCGGTTACATATGAACGTAAAATATCTTGAGTACAAGATCATCGCGCAAACCGAAAAATACCGATACAGGGTGGAGTCAGAAAAATTTATGACCCGTATTAATAAATCCATCTCAAATGCGGGATCAGTGTTAAGAACTTGACCTGTCTTTATTATTAATAATATCACTGGAGTCAACATTAACAATTACTTCATTAATTACACTACAAAGACGTCGAAATTTCCACATTCTGGAAGCCGTTCGCACATACAAAAGCGAAAATGTGTTTACAAAAGTCAACCTTTGCGTATGTATTTTTTTTATATGTAGAAAGTTCATATCACATAATTTCAAAATCGATACCGTAACTAACTTAACGAAAATGTCAACATTTTTGTAGTTTCTGAAACTAAGTTTGAAAAAATGAGAATTTCGTTTAGTGACATTATTGTTTGCGAAATGTTTTTTTTTTTCGATATCAATTATAGGTTTGCAGATTAAGGAAGTAAACAAAAGATAGTACAAGAAATTATAACTTAGGAAATGGAACTATTTTTCCGGATTTAAATATTTGTTTTTTTTTCAAACAAACCAACGTTTCGGGCCCTTTATAGGTCCCATGGTCACGGTTGACGGTCTCATGGTCAATCGTGACCATGAGACCGTGAGAGACCATGAGTTTGTATGAAAAAAAAAACAAATATACGCAATTTAAATCCGGAAAAACAGTTTCATTTCCTATATGCAACAATCGCGAAACCCTAAGAACTAGATCAATTATAACTTTTTTGTAAAAAAACGGACGTCGAAAGTTTGCTTGTCCGTTTTCGCTGTTTTATTTTCTTTGTAAAATTACGTTTATTAAGGAATAGAAAAATAATATAAAAAAGCAAGGAGTTCGCAATAGATCCTGTCTCGCGTGCAGCATTGGACCAACTGTCCTCAGCTGGCCAAGGTCAGGCAAGAACCATAAGTGGTCAGCTTCACCAGTTTTTCCAAGAGTCGGCGCAAAGTACCTTTTACTGTGGCAACATCGACTACCTAATCACGCCATCTTTCCTCAGATACAGCTTGTGTATCCGACCTCGTGGTCATATTCCTCGTGGCAGCGACTCGTCAACAATTATCACAACGTCTCCGATCCGTAGGTCTTGTAGGTGGGCTTTCTAGTGGTCACGTGGATGGTATTCATAGTCACAGGGAATTTTCTAGTTTGAGGTCAGGTAATTGACGTGGCTGTCTAGTATGAAACCAAATTTCCATTTTTTTGTATTTTGATTTGCTCTGCACGCGGATATATCTGACGCACAGAGAAAAACGCTTTTGGCCACTGTGATCTTAAATTTTTTTTTGTGAAATTACTCAACTACTTTGTTATAATTATTAATATAACGATTGAACTAAAAAAAATGGTAAGGTCCGCTGGTTCGTTTCGTTGCTTACTTGGCATAGCGTCTAGTACGGTTTGCTAGAAGACGTTTTGGTTCGAATCCGGCCGGATCCAAGGATTTTTTTCTAAGTCGACTCATCCGTATAACAAAGACTTATGTGCATGAATAGTTTATTCTCAGGACATTGAACATTTTATTCGCTGTTCTTAGCTGTGGATATCAGATCCACTGTTGTTCGATTTTATATTTCCGAAATGAAATAATAATAAGATATAATTATTCTAGATGTAATTAATTATTTATGTTTTACGTTAAATGTTTTGATCGTGTTTTGTTTTAATTCTGTTTTGTTCCGTTTTCTCTTTTTTTTTGTCTTTTGTCTTATGTCATTGTGGTAAACAAATAAATGTATTTTCTTTCTTTCTTTCTTGTTTCTATTCTGTAAACTATACTTAAGCTTTATTCTGAATAAAAAAATTATGCATTTATCTTCTTTTCGATGTATAATCACGTCAGACTGTTGGTCAGACTTCGGTTGAGTCGAAATGTTCGATTCTTGTATTAATCACTATGGTCTTTCCAGCCAGTAGGGCGATTTAATATTATAAAAATGAATGGACCGACTAGGACATTCAAAGCATGATACCTTGCTCAACGTGTTAGCAAGCATAGTCAAAGGAAGAATGCTACCAGCATTTCGAGCACCCTGTCGTGTGACCCAATTTCATCCGCCCACATGCCTAAACCAAGTATTGTACAAGGATTAGGACTACAAGTATTACTGAATATTAGGACCAGGGCTACATAGGTTTAAGCCTGTAAGCTTCTACTTCCCTTGGAACGAGAAAGGTACAACTAACATTTTTATCATAATTGAATTATATACTTTCCGGTGTATAGCCGTAAAGGGTAACTTTGGGGGAATCTCCCTCGTCACTGATTTTGTTAGGAATTGCTTGATATTGGCCTATTCACTTTTCGTTATCAATCCATTAAGCCGGCGATGAAATAATCACGTCAGTTGATTGCAATTAATTCATTTCTCAACTTTTCAAAATAATTATTTCGAAAGTACAAAAGACGAAAATGGTTGAAACAGACTTTAAATGTCACGCAGCAAATTCATAAAGACCGACCGCCATCATTTTTACCAAGTCGCTTACACCCAAAAGCCATCTTGTTAAAGCGCATTAGTTTTTTAAGCATTAACCATTAACTTGCCCTCATCTGCCGTCATGTCATAGTACCACGTTGGACAACTAATTAAACTGAATAGGCTAAAACTACACCAGCGCTAAATAGAATCATCTATCTTGGAACAATGGTACTTTTAAAGTAATAAATAGAATTGTTCGTGTTATCCCCAGCGCAGTACACCACACACAAACACACGCGCACACGCACACACACACACACACACACACACACACACACACACACACACACACGCACGCAC